CACCAATGCAATTTCAATCTCATGAAAGCCTTTGAAAGCAAAGATCGAATTAATTAATCATGTCAAGAGCCATTTAAGAGAAGGAACTTACCTCTGCAGGTGGGAAAGAGCCCTTTCGACGTCCTCTGTCTTGAGGGGGCTCGTGCTATTGAGTGTCATGAGGAAAAACCCCATTCTGGCGCCGCGGTTGTGGACGACGTGGAACCCGAGAGATTCCCTGTCGAGTGGCCAGAGCCATTTCACGTCGCCGCTGCTTAGAGATCTGTTAGGGATAATTGAAGTCTTTTAGATGCAGGGATGTAACTACGAACCCTCCATGGGAGGATTGCCGCCCCCTAAATCCCGCCTAGAAAAACAAAGAATCCTCCCAGTATTCACGGCAGGAGAGCGCATATGACCAACGTCCAGGAAGTCTATCCTACGCTCCCTTCTGCCGTAAGGACGTGGAGGATTCTTTGTTTTCCTGGGTGGGGGTTGGGGCCAATAGTCCCTATGGAGGTCGCAGGGAGTACAGCCCTCTGCATTAGACAATACAGTGACGGATTCTGAGTAGATTATTCATATTTTACCCTGAAATTTACCTGGGGCCAACCATGCCCTCCCCTGCTATCTGGCCCATGCTTGTAGCTAATGTGTGTGTGTGTGGGGGGGGGGGGCTCAGTGCGATTAAACCTACACATTATCATTGTAGACGGAGAGAGGAATCAATATCGCCGCGGTACGTTTGGCGGAACTATATGGAAAAAAAACATTTTATTGACTACCCAGCATGAAAAGTTTGACAAAAGGAACGAGGGGTATTGTGTGATACATAAGTTTATATAGATTTGTATGGTTATCTACGTGTGCTTGTGTGTCTATCATTAATTTCCGGCAAAGGATAAAATCGCCGTCTATTAAATACATTACGTAAGCTTTGCTCTTGATAATTTTCTTAATATAAGTGAACAATTGATACAATTAGTTCTGATTATTATTACTGATATATATTGATATAAATGTGTGCGTGTGTATGTATGTAGGTACTGTTTATGTATGCATGTATGTAGGTACTGTGTATGTATGCATGTATGTAGGTACTGTGTATGTATGTATGTGTGTAGGTACTGTGTATGTATGCATGTGTGTGTACTGATACCGTGTACGTATGCATGTGTGTGTAGATACCGTGTATGTATGCATGTATTTAGGTACTGTGTATGTATGCATGTATGTAGGTACTGTGTATGCATACATGTATGTAGGTACTGTGTATGTATGCATGTTATTGTAGAGGTGGCTATGATATGCATGTATGTAAGTTACTGGATGTATGGTAAGTAATGGTAGGTAAACTCTGTATGCATACATAAGAATAGTAAAGAAAGAGTACAAGTGGATAATGCATATGCATGTAAAAGTTGTAAAAAAGGAGTAACTGTATGTAGTGTAAGCATTGTATGTAGGCACTAACTGAATGATGGTAAAAATGGAGCATACATGTAAGAGATAACTGTGTAATATAGTACATGTGTGTAAGGTATTCTGATGTATAGTATGCATTACATGTAGGTACTTGTTAATATAATGACAGATGGATGTATGTAATTGTGAAAGTATAAAATGCATGTACGGTAGAAATTCATGCACATGCGCTTCATACGTGTGAGCAAAACCAATGATTTTGCTTTGCCATTGAGACAAGTAGAATTGAGACCGCCTCGGATCTCCCCCAAGGACAGCCCCTGTTCCCCGAGTCAGGGAACGATGAGCCGGCAAGACGCCCCAGAGAGAGGGCGCCCGCAGCCGGAGGCACCGCCCGCAAGCCAACACCCATTGCTGACGTGATAGATTGCCTCAGAGAGGGTTCAGGGCGGGAAAGACACAGGAAAAGGAAAGGAAAGGGTTGTAACCCTGGGAATAAAGAGATGAGCGGTGAGATGTGGACATAGACGGGAACTAAATATATTGGTTGATGAGTTCAAATAAGATACAGTTTTAGAATGGAATGATGGTGAATGGAGATAGTGAAGTGAGTATAAGAGTGGGAAAGGTAGCGAATTACAAATAGTAAGAAGGGTAGTGGGAGGTAAGTGGTGGAATGGAGTAAGGTGGGTAAAGGATAAAGGCGAGATAACAGAATAGAGTGGATAAGGTAATAGGATGAAGTAGAATAGGGAGGATGGGTAAGGGGATAAGGAAAAGAGAGTGAGATGTGAGAGTAGAAAAAGAAGGAGGAAAGAAAGAAAGGAATATATGGTAGCAGTACAAATAAGGGTGATGTAGTGGAGTAGTGGTGATAAGGATATTGGGTGTGGGTGGTGGTAGAGGTTAGCACAGTACCAATGGGGTGAATGGGTAAATGGTGAGTATGGTGGGGTCAGGTGTAAAGCAGACAAATGAGTGATGGTAGTGAAGAAGTGTAAGGTGGTAAGAAAAGTGGGGAGTAAGGATGGTGGTATAAAGTGGAAAAGGTGAAAAGGTGGTGGATGGTATAAGGTAGAGCAGTTAACCGAATGGGTAAAGGAGAGTAAAGTGGTATAGTGAGAGTGGTGGTAAGAAAGGAGGATAGTGGGTAGAGATGAGTAAGGGAAAGGAAGGAAAGAAAGAAGTTAAAAAAGGAAAGGAAAGAAAGGAAAAGGTAGACAGAAAGGGAAAAATAGAAAAGTTAACCAATTGGTGATAAGGTGAATAAGGGTGGTGTTGGGTAAATGAGTAGGGATGAGTGGTAAGTAGCAAAAAGGAAAAAGTACCAATAGTGAAGGTGGTAAAGGAGTGAAGGTGTGGTGTGGTAAGGGAAGAGTAGGTGAATAAAGGGTAAAGTGGGTAAAGGGTGGTATATAGGGGTGTAAAGGAAAGGGTACAGAAAGAGTACCAATAAGGTAAAGAAGTGAATGCAATGGTAAGTTAGGTAGGTAGAAGGAAAATGGTGGTTGAGGTAGGTAGGTAAAGGAGTGGTATGGAGGTTATAGAGGAATAGAGTGGTAAAGAAGAGATAAGTAAAGGGAAAGTGGGTAGTAGGTAGACGGGAAGTACCAATGAGTTGTGCATAGTTGATGAAAGGTGAGTATGGTGGTAAGGTGAATAGGAAGGGAAGATGCGAGTAAAGGAAAAAGGGTGAAAGTAAGTAGATGAAGGTGGTGAAAGGTAAGGTAAGTAATGTGAGGTGTTAAGAAAGAGAAGGAAGTAAAGGTAGAAGTATGAAAGTGAGTGTGACAAAGTGATAATGATATAAAAGGTAGAACAAATAATAGAATGAAGAATGATGAAAAGATGAATAGTAATGAATAGATGATAGGAATAATAGAAGTAAAAAATAAAAAAATGTAGATAAGCGATATAAATAAACAAAATATGATATAAAAGTCTATCAACTAGTGTCCCTGTGGATCTAGGATAGAGTATCTACTTATACAACAGAAACAAATACGATGAGAAATAATAAAATAATAATTAATATAATAAAAATACAATAAATTAATCAATAATAATTAAGAATAAGAATAAGAAAAACACAATAAATAGAAGAACATATTAGTGTAGACTCTAGAGTTACACCCCCAACCCCCTAAAAGCAAAAAATATAATAAAGGAAATGAAATGAGGGATAAATAGAACAAAAGTGACCACTATATAAAATCCCAAAACAACATGATAAATGTATCGCGCCTCCGCACATAATGTTATACGTACTACTCTCAGTACCGACATATAATCTAGAATAAATGTGCTGCAAAGTAATAAAATCGTTAGGCCTTGTCATGCCTAACATGAACCCACTTTATATAATCGTATGAAACATGAATAATACTGATATTAAGCGACTGGTACAGGAATTGCAGAAGGAAATGATATACTATTAAAATAGTAGTGAAAGAACATCGAGACCGAAAATGCCCATTGAGCGAAAAGACGATAATAAATAATATATCCTAGTTCCACTCTCAATATAAAGAAACAGAGAGTGGGTAAGTGATATTGGAGATTGTTATGACAGTATACAACATAAGTATATAGCCGCACATGAGGCGCCTATAAAGTTAAAAGTAAAAAATGTCATAACATTTAGAATAGTATGAAATCACGTATAACGTAAGTAGTAAATGACCGAAGTGACATAAGCAAATGCAATAATGAAATTATTAAGTATTTATATGGTAATCACTTAAGTGATAAAGTAGTTTAAGAATGGTTAAGGTTAAGTGTAATGTAATCTAATGATGGAAAAAAGAACACTGTTAAAGATTAATGAGGAAATGAAACACTGCAATGCATGTGGTAGGATGTGATGTAGGTGGAGGTGATGGAAGACGAATAACGAGTTAAAGAAGGTGTATAGACGTAAAACAATAGTGGTAGAGATGAGCTTAATGCGCAAGGATATTGTACATGACGAGACTAACATCTTCAGAAAGAAACACGTGAAAGCTAGAGATGTTACCATAACGTGGAAAGGACTCATCGCAAACAATCGATATGTAACTTATAGAGTATTTAGTTAAATGTAATAATAAGTATATACGTACTTCACTCGGAAAAAATTACAATAATATCCTATGATAATATCTGTTTCAATTTTTATTAAACATTATTATAAAAAAGTAGATATGAAAGTATATGACACATGTATACGTACGAGAGAATAAAAAAAATAATGAACAACAAAACAACAAGAAAAGAAAAAAAAAAAATGAAAAAAAGTAAAAAAGTAATCTGCGCGTAGATAGCTCTCTAAAAGAGAATTGGCATGGATCATCCAAACACAAACAAACGTGGCTCTCGACCCCAAATGAATGTCACGTAGAACTCTAAGTAATACAGAGAGCGAGAGTAATGCGGATGTGTTGAAATCTCTCCGTTTGGTGCGAAACCTCGCCTGCGTGCTCCAAGGTGCCAGGTCATTATCCGAGGCATGTTAAAAAATAAACTAATTTAGGAGGGGAGCTGAGGCACGACAACAGTAGTGAATAAGAATTCTGGTGATAGTTGTCTGTGTGGTTATGGATTGTGAGACATTTTGAATGATCCGATGAGAGATTCACTATTTTATTGATTGGAGAGATAAGGTGTCAAGAAAATAGACATTGTAGAGAATCACAGCGCGTTTGAAAGGATAGCAGTTAAACAATATACTAAAAAGTAGACGCAACTAGGTAACGAAATGTGTTCAAATTTATAAAGCCAAGGACCTACTGAATGCTAAGATCTTTTTTCAATGATACAGATACAGTATTGATCGTAAAATATGACAGCATCTATTCTTATTGTGAATTAATCTTCTATAATTTCTTGATTATTGGGTACACTGGCTAATCAGTTATTATGACTGCTGTTATTCACCTATTTCGAGATAAGCTTTTTTCAGTGGATTATACAAATATGCTGTATAACATAAAAAAAATTGTTATTTAAATTTTCATTATAAATGGTTATGTATAAACCTTAAGTATGTGTAGCTTCCCCTTATCATTAATCAATTCATGTCATTAATAGTTGTACACGAATAAGCTAAATGGACATGTTATATCTTCATAATTTTTAAAATCAACGTTGGTGATTGCATATATAGACACATAGGTACATAAACAATTAGGAAGATAGAAGTATAGATGAATATATATATATATATATATATATATA